TGCGTACAAATTTATAAAAATATTTTAATAAAAATATATAGGTATATTCATAGAAATACTATATTATACAGAATTCTCGAATTATAATAAAATATACAGAGCTTTGCATTCGGATCTTCGGTATATGTATTTGCTCTCGATATAACCCAGTTCTAATATTATCCACTTGAATTTTTCCGAACAACTCCGCACCGTCCAATCCGAGAGCGCGGTGTTCGAAAAGTTAGAAGGAAACTTTCTCAGAAAGAAGTTTGCACAGACTATATCAATGAACTACTCGAGTTCATTTTTTTTCATGATTTTATGACCACTGAGCACAAGACGTGTATGATGGCAGAACCAAGAACGCTGCTCAGCGTTGTTTGCATTTTCTCTTAAAGGGTCGCCTCGAGTGCAATGTGGGTCAGGACTGTTGTAGCGTGTACTTTGTTTGCCGCTCGTCGCAGCTGTACGTTCGTGTAATACACCGACAAGTGGTTGAGCTTCGCGGCGAGGAAACCGACCCGCTAAATTGGCACGACAAACGTATCCGTCGCAAACTTGCAGTCTCTGAGTATAACTTGTGTTCCTATTTTCTAAAAATATATTTATCTACAAATAAATACTTGCGCAAATACGCTTCATAGATTATTTACTAGAAAAAAATAGACAAGTTAAGAATTATGTGTTCTCTTTCTCTCTTGACTTTGTAAATTATCGGGCAATTCTTTTATGTTTATTAGTTTTCACCGTTGTCGATAAACAAAGCGATTGATATCACGCATTGATCTCGACAGGCATCTCCTTGTCGATTAATCGCGGTATGCATTAGAGCACGTGAATGACCACCTGATCGTCAAGTGGTTCTCGAAAGCGGCGGCGAGTTCGTTGGCCAGGGTGTTAACGAGATTATTAACGCGTCCCTCTGATGAGTCGTCTCGTCGTGAGAATGATAATCCCGCAAGGATCCTCGCCCTTCCCGGAGATGGAAACGCGGCGATTAAGGCGACCCCGATTCCTTTCCGATTCGTCGATCAAGGGGATCAGTCTCGCGAAAACCTCGTAGTCACGTTATTTAAAGCGCCAATTTAGATTAAATGAAAACATGTTTTCACGGTTTTCACTTATATCTTTCCAATTAAACACGATAGTTGTGAACAATTTAGTATGCAACAGTGAGTAATTGCAAAATTGACTATTTTATGATTTTCGAAACGGACGACTTTTCCCCGTAACTTTGTACAGAACAACGGAAATAATTTTTTCATGACCGGACGGAGACCGAAATCGAAACAGCTGGCGAATATGGCCGTCCTTTAGAAGAAATGGAACGGAAGGTGGTAAATCGCGTGGAAGTACATTTGGCGGATTGGATTAGCATTTTATATACGAAAAGCAGGCAGTCGTGTGTGCGTATACCCCGAAGGGGTGAAGATACGCACGTCCACTCGGTCGTATTTAGTCGACGAAACGTGCGAATGAATATTGCTCGCAACGTAATACAATAACCGAAATTCGAAACGAGCTTTCTCGTGCGCGTTAGGGGGACGTATATACTCTCTCTATATATATATATATACAATATATATAGAGTACAAGACATCACGGAGAGTGAAAACGAGGAAAAATTGATGGGAACATTTGTGATTGAAAGCAGTATATCTCTCGGTATATTCTCGAAGACGACTTGTATACGCGTGTGTAATCTCGAACTTGCGAAACGGACGTTCTCTTCGCGCGTTAGAAAGAAACTTTTCTTCAGATTACGTACAGGAAGTGGAGAAAACGGGTTCACGCGAAGCTGCTCTCAACTCTGTCGGGCGCAAATTGGCTGGTGTGTCGCGCGTGTAAAAAGATTTTTACTGCTCGCTGTAAGTGCGCTCTCGTGTGTTTCGGTCGAAATGAGAAAGGTGGAATTTGCGCTCCTCGAATGTCTTTGTCATTTAATGACACAAACTGTTCGCGACGTATATATTTCTCTTCGAAGAAAATTACTATTTTTATTTGTGAGTTTATCGGTGTTCTTAGTTTTAAATTCCAATTTGTTTTTATTATAAGGCGTACGGAATACAATCAATAAGTATAAAACGCTATCGATTCCGCCGTGCTCTCTGTAGATAGACAACCGACTCGTAGTGCGTTAACTTGCTCTACCGTGCGAGTTCTATCAGTTCTATGGGCTAGTTGTGGTACGTGCCACAATAAAGCCGGCCGGTTGTTTCGAATCCTGCGGCTCGATTCGTCTATAACTCACAGCCGATGAACTAGGTGGAACGCATTCGTTCTCGTTTTTCGTATGTCCGATGCAAAGGCGCTGTTTTAAATCGAACTGGTTTTCAAGAAATACTTTTTCCTCTTTTTTTCACATTGCTCACTCCGTCGCGTTCTCTCTCTCTCTCTCTCTCTCTCTCTCCCTCTCTCTCTCTCTCTGTCGAAAGAGAGAAGATCGAAAGTCTCGACAAAGAGATCGGAAAACCGCAAGATCAGGGGAGGAACAGGAGAGTGAAGAACGAAATACGAGAGATGAAAGAAGAGAAAGAGAGAGAAAGCGACGAACATCCAACTCGAAATTCTACGAGATCTCCTCCATCTTCTTTCGATACTTTTTATCCCTCTTTATTCTGTCTGCTTCTTATCATGCTGCCGTTGCTCTTCTCTCTGCGTCGTCTCGCGAGGAATCTCGACCGTCGTATCGTATCGACTACCGCGAGACGACTACATAGGCGAATAAAGGCGTTTCTCGGGATACCTGCGGAACTTTATTCGCAGACTTGGTACCGTGGTTGTTTTGGTTGGTACTTGGAGATCAAAAGAGGCTAAAACGGCGCTCCTGAAATTGTCGGTTGACTCGCGAATCGATCGCTAGATATTTCCCGTTTTAGGATTTTTCAACAGCCATTGAAACGGCACTTTTCTCTCAAATATAGATTTATCGTACATACGATGAGTTAGCTAATCAAAAATTTGATTTAATTTTTTTACATTAAATTTTATAACAAAAATTTACACGACGTCTCGCTTCTGAATAATACAACATGGCCACGGTGAGTAAAGAAGAGCCTTAATACAGACGCGCGACATATAATCAAGTCTAGCTCTATGCGGACCATAAACATACGTGTCAACACACAAATCCGCAGCTTATTACATATAACGTAAATATGGATATTTATATTATCCCGTGGCTCTCGCTTAGATTAAAGATCAAAGGACACACACAAAATCAACGATAAGATATTACAGCGGTCATATATTCGCGGAATTATAATTATTATCTTTTCATACAAATTACGTGTATTGAGCATTTTCTAGTTGCATTTTGCAGTATTATTCTATGAGATAAACACAAAACAAAAAAACATATATGCGTGTATACTTATGAAACTACCGCTTTAAAAATATTAAATTTATAATATTATTTATTTTTATTTTGCGCGTATTCGAAGGCGCTATTCCCTAATCTATTTCTTTTAACGTTATCATGGCTATTCATCAAGAATTGTTCAATAAACAATTGTGCACTAACACATTGAAAGAGAAGAAAGAGAGAGAGAGAGAGAGAAGCTCAGCTTTATTTCAAGCGTAAACACTATCCAACCACAGAGATCTAAGTATATGTAAAACCTTTGTTCACTTTCTCGTAGATAGAGAATGCTGACAGAAGATCACAGAGAGTATAAAGAGATAAACAAAGCGAGAGGGAGAGAGAGAAAAAGGCAATATATATTCTAGGGTGAAAAAGAGAGATAGAACACTGTAGAAGTTACCAAAAGTAGAATCCAATATCATCGCATCTCTTCACTTTCGTGTTCCTCTGTGCGCGATTCACCTTCCTATCTCTTCGTCACCTCCGGAAATTTCAGTAAAGGACGTCACCATCTAACATACCCCTAAGGCTACATAATATCCTCTCTTGAATTAGTCCTTCAAGCACCGACTCCAGCTATCCGGAAAACATCCTTCGACTTTTTGTAAGCCTTTGACTTGACAGGGTCACTATCGCGAAAAACCGTCAATGAAAGAACCAGACAATAAAACCAAATCAAGATGATCGTATCGTTATCGTGCGTACGATTAACGTAAATGCGTGTGTGTTGAAAGTTAATACTGAATTTACCTGTAAAATGTGATTTCTGGCTTAAATCAAAATGTTCAATAGTTTTTCTACGACGCGAGATTCGCATTTTTAGTATATCTTGAAAAATACGAAAAAGCTACATCCACTTTTCCAGCATGCGCAGCAATAACAACCTAACGACGTTAACGCATTTCATCCATTTTGCGAACGCAAAATATCGCTCGGAAAGGGAATCATGATATTTTTTTAACGATGAGATCAATCCGTTCCGTCTTTTCGCTCTTTGATATAACTATGGCGCGTAGGCGAGCGGTGATGCTCGCAGAGCAAAATACACGATCGAATTGTTCGCGAACATCGGCATAGTCCGATGCACGTGTGGTTTATGACGATAATAAACTATTCGGAACTGATACAGGCCGACGATGGCCGTTTGTACTTTCATGTTCGTGCTGCCCGGGCTCCTATCGGTGATCGAGCAATTTATACGCGGGATATCCCGTGTACGAGCCGCGCGCGCGTTGCAGAGCGGCTCGTACACGCGTAAACCCGTAGGTCAGGTTCTCCATGTCTAGCAGAAATCGATACGTCGCCGGGAGAACGCGAGATGCTTGCGTAACGAGCGGCAGCAGCTTCAGGATCGAGCGAGCTCTTAATAATTGCGCGTCGAAGCGCGCAATGCACTGTACATCGGAAACCTGCCGACGTCGCGCCTAATTAGGCGCAAATAAGAGTTATTAACTTCCTAGCGCGTAATATCTTAATGGAAATATGCGATGTGTACAACTCTTCTCTTTTCTATCTGCACATTTTTTAAATGTGTCGGTTTATTAGCAGGTACAACGAATTATTTATTAGATATTTTTGCTTCTACATTAATTATAGTATTAATGTTACGTTCTTTATAAAAGATATATTCTTTCGGATAATTATGTACAGATTTGTTGTCGAATGAAATTCATTGATAAAGAGCTCGCAAATCATTATCCATTAATTTGTCGTATTTGAGAAAAACATATTACGAGCAAACACGGTTACTCGTTATTTCGAGCAACAACGCGATACCAGCACGACGGTTTGCGTTTCGGACGGTTGCACACTCAGTTGCAGCAGCGAGAGATGCGCAAGGACGGTTGCAACGTTCGCTAACATTCCAAGTCTAATGTTAAAGCACTCGACCGCTCTTTGACTCAGCGTCTGACGTAAATCAACTTTCGGTCAAAGAAACTGATGGAGTGTTCTGAGTCGACGCTTCTTATAAGGTAATGCTATAACGTAACGGTCCTCTGTCTCAACAAGCTTGTTTTCAATCTCTCAACGTAAGACGTCAACGTATTATCTTTCGTATGACATTTCTGATGATATCTAAAGTTCGAGAGAAGATAGAAAACATATAATAAATAGATTTATAAAAATACAAATTTTTTTTATAGATAACCAGTTAACAATCTGAAACCAGTTGTTCCACACGTACTGCGAAACGCAAAACGAACGAGTTGCTGACACATTTTTGAACAATGTGAAGAACGATTTCCATCTCCGCGAGCCCTCAATGCGTTGTTTTCTCTTTGCTCTACCTCCATATTACGTATTGCAAAGTTCACCAATGTTATTCGACTCGCGCCATTGAAAGTTAACAACCAGCAAGCGAGCTACCATATCGTGTGCATATGTGTCGCGCGACTAGTAATGCTTGTGCGTGGCACGGGAGAGCACTCGGGCATGGCATTGCCACCAGGAGGAGAGCTGACATCCCTTTGTGCGCTCGAGTAGATTTCTAAACAGCGTAGCGCTCCTTGTCGTCTGAAGGACCTTCACACGTTCGAGACGAGCGCGCGTTCTTCTTCACTGTGTGTGCGCGCGCGAGGGATGGCAGATACGTGAGAGAAACGCCAATGGAATTCTTTATTGTATTATCGATAATTAAAAGCGCGGATCGTTGTCAATCGAGAGAGACAATCGGACTTAAAATTCTGACGGAGTGCACATAGCTAAATTCTTTTGATGTATTTACCGCACGGTTTTGTTCGAAAAATTTAAATTTGTAGAACTGGTATGAGCGAGAAAATGTTTGATATTGGAAACATACCTGTAAGACATCGCATGCATGCGTGTGTACAGAGAGAACAGTAAATGTACATGAGCTCAGTCTAGCAAGTAATGCTCATAAACTTCGCACACCTGTTCACTTCACAGCGCCGGTAATAACTCTGCAGAAGAGTTTTTTCACAACTTGAGAAACAATTCGTAGTTGACCTTAAAACGAGTCAAGTTCATATTCGCGCTTTTACACACACGTATTTATATTACTGATAGATTTACATCATTTATCTCGTATTCCACTGCACACCATCTGGCTAACACACGTACCTATCGTACGCACGATTGCACACAATGCAGCCCTACGTATTTGCACGAGGATCGCGCTCTCGAGCACGCATAAATTATGTGGAGCGATTAGTAAAGCGACGCATTGACAAAGCGACAGTAGTATCGCATTGCTATTGCGACAAATTTCTATTTTTCAAAAAAACACTGGCTCATTATCGCGCGTGGTGTGACAGCTCGTTAAAGTAAATTCGCATTTCTTCGCATTCTCACATGAAACATCGCGGCACGTTGCCAAATACGTCTCTTTTCCATCGCGAAGTTGCACAAGCACACACGCGTGCAGTTAATCCGATTATTATTCAGACGGATTTCGCAATTTCGACGATGAGATATAATGAAATTGTAATTAAAGAGGTTTAATTAGCTCTTTGAATATCGTGGCAAATGATAACCGAGAACTGTACGAATTCCCATTTCGTAACGTAGATAAACCGGTTAACCGCACGATATTATAATATCGAGTATTAAAGCGAAAAAGTCGTAATATATATTAAATTTTCTATAAGGAAAAACCTTAGAAAGTTTAGAGGCTTAGTTGTATGAAATTCTCTCTTATAAAACTGTAATATTGTCGACAACGTTTTGTGTTGATTTTGTAAGCAAATAAATACTGTAACAATATTTAATATTGAAAAATACGCGTGTTTTCTTGAAAAATTTCGAGTGAACGTGTATGTTTATTGTGGAGTTTGTTCACAACTTTACAGAGAGATGCGCGCGAACATCGTCACTTCGGAAGTTCGGTCCGAGCGCGCGCGTCCTCGTCGAGTCTCCTCCATCACGGAAATTTACGAGCTTCGGGCTGTTCGATGCAATTCACGGGGAGCGAGTATGACGCGACGTCTCGAGAGTTCGTGCCATCCACGAATTTTGTAGTGCGCAAATTCAATCGATCGCGTCCACAGCAAAACGCGTAGTTCCGCATAAATGTGTGTGAGATAACGCACACAACCGCGTGTGAGAACGCATACACATGTGCGCACATAATCGGACAAACCGAATCCGAAATCTCCTCTCGCACTGGTGGAGAGGTTGCCTGACAAACTGATTCGAGAAAGTGAGATGGGGGATCCGACTGTATATATTATGTTTCTTTTGTAGAGAATGCAATGTCGCTAATTCATATTGAAGAGCAAATAATCAATAAAAAAATGGTAGGATTTATCCTGCCAACTTTTTACATTTGCAACAAGAAACAGATTTGACCACATTTGTGATTACTGTCTCAAATGGCGCAGCAGAATAACGCTGATGTTTATATTCAATCTATGTTGAGAACAGGTGAAAGAAAATGAGTTTGTTACGTATTCGAAGGTCAACGTCGCTGAGAGAAAGGACGACCGGGCGAATCTCGTTAAGGGCGAGTCTCGCATTTACCCTCTGTTCTCGAGACGTACTTGCGTACGCGTGGAACAATTTATTGCATCTTTCTTGCACGCTAAAGCATAGTATGAACCGCATACCTTATGCTCGGTTCCCAGCTGAGTTGAATCATAAATCATGCTGCTCTCTCCTTTCCTCCGTCTTCCTTGTCTTATCCTCTCGTCCACCACGGTCACCCTTATTTCTTATACGACAAACAGAAAGATCTTCTCGCTCGTGTACCTTTCAAGAGCAGTCATGATCAACGTCTAGACTCAGCCTCGTTCAATGCGAGTATTTCGCTGGTGCTTCTTCGTATTAGTTGTTTAAATATTTGTTTTTGGCGCTTTCGCTAATCATTTTGATTCTTCGCGGATCGCTCCAATCGAGGTTAAAACAAACTTGCTCATTTGGTAAGAATAAACACAGTCGCATATGTGATGAAATGACGAGCTACAGATATTGAGATTAAAACATCGCGACGAAATATCAGCGGTGCTCTTTCTATTTCAAGTTGGGGGTTCAAGGAAAAGGGGAGAGTCCTGCGCGAATTATCCTTCCACACTTTGCATTCCGCTTGGGAATGAAATATTACTCCTCTGAGGAAAATTTGATATACCGAGACACGCGCGCAAACCCCATTACATCACGTTTACGGCGACCGCGACGCAGAAACTTGATAATTACATTACATCACAGTTCTCTTTTATGACAACTAACATTACTAAGAGGCACGTGATTACTGCTTATTCCACCGGCGACATTTTGCACGTACTAGGCGCTCGAGTCGAGTTCGCCAACGATCTTCTACAACCCGCATAAACACGTGTAGCTCGATGTAACACGGCACAAAATTGCTCTCGGACTTTATAAATAGTCATCGTAATAATTAACCGAGATGAGAAACAGGATAAGCGCATAGAGAGATTTAATCAAATGTTATTCTTCAATTCAGCAGAAAGTATCTGCTGTCAGGATTTGCCTTTTACTCACGGTAATTAATAATCGATCGAGTGTATCGATATCATAAAGATCATTTTCTGACACGAATTTAACATATATTTTTTTTAATACATGGTCAGTGCTAAAGTTTTGTTTATTAACTCTAGTCATTTTTGATAAATATTAAAATGAGCATCGATCCACGCAATTGCAAGATATCATTTTCACTCCATTGTCATAATTAGCTCGTTTAATTTCGTTCGTTGTACCGTCGGAATTCAGGAAGTTAAAATTCGCTCTGTTAAATAACTGGTCATTCATTGACAACGCGGTGACACGTAAACAGCATTGGGGCGTTGTGTAATGGCAATTTGGTGTATTTGTTACCTGATTGGAATAAAGCGTCTAGTGAAACGAACAATTTCGATTATACACGGGGCTTGTAATTACCGAAAGAGCTGCGGACTATCGTGTAGCAATGCGAGCGCTAATTATTGGCTTACTGTCAAGTATATCTTGTTGTCGGCGAGTTTTATCGCGATTAAAACGAAGTATCTTGCAATGAGAAAACAATCGATATCAAGATCGAATATCGCATTGTCGTCGATTCGCCGACGATGAATTTCGACCGCGCGCGCGAACTCGCAATTTTTTCAACCAATGCAATCTCCGTTGATACGTCACACACGTAATTAATTATTCAATCGTATATAATTGTAAGAGAAATAAGAATAAAGTGTGTGATTTGTGTTTTTACTCACCGTTTTCAGTGTCTCGTAGTCTCTTTTCTTCAGCATATCTATTAATCTCTGGTGATCCATCTCTTCCTTCGTCATGTACACTTTTTTGTCTCTCAATTTCTCATTTTCGTAATCGTCGCACAAAACATTGCGAAAATTCACCTGCTGAACACTGTAATTCACTTTATTTGTTTGTTCGGCCGACGGATTTTCCGGCAAATCCTGTTCGAATTGCAGGTTCTTAACGAGAACTTCGTTAATCACCGCACCGCGTTCATCGGTGTCCTTCGCTGTTTCTTGAACCGCGAGATTTTCCAACTTTTCCCCGAACTGTAATCTACTTCGAGAAGGATCTTCCTCGATCTTGAGTCTTGAGCCTCGCTGACTCTCCAGTTCGTCCACGGGAATCGTTGCGGTCGACAAATTACTGTTCTCTCTCGAATGAATTGTTAATTGATCCGATTCCACTCTCGAAATGTTTTCGTAGTGAGCCGCAAAATCTTCGAACGTTACTGGCTCCTCCGGATCCTGTCTGATTTCTTCGTGACCTTTGGATTCTTTTATTTCTCGAGATCGAGGTTGAACTTTCGACTTAGCATTGCTGTGGCAAGGTGACGTCGATTGGAAAGTGGCGAAGGTCATCGCCGGTTCATTAACAACGACTTGCTGCTGATCCCACTTGGTGTAAATCAAACTGTCTTTTTTTTTATCCACCGATTCCTTCCATCGTCCATTCGGCAAACTCTGTTTTACCTTTAAACACTGTTTCAAACCAATCTCCGGATACCTACATAGCAAATTTATTTCGTTCTTTTGATCGTCCTCGTCGATAGTTTCGAGATGCTCGTGTCGCGACTCGCCGATCCTGTCGGACGACTCATCCTCGAGAGTTATCGACGTTTCCTTGACAGGCGGCTCCCGATCCGATCTAGTTACGTTGATTTTTTCACCGTAAGGAGACACTTGTAGAGAAGGTCGAAGTATCGACTCAAGATCGTCCGCGTGAATCACTTGCGGTTGCAAACTCCGCTCGTAAATCCTTTCCACATGATCCGACGGAACGTAACGTGTGATTCTACTGGACGAGACGCTTTCGCAGCTTGCAATCTTGGATTTCGCGGTGTTCTGTTCGCTCAGCTGTTGCTGCAGACCGCTTGTCGCGGTGTAGACTCGGTTGTTCGGTTTGAAACTCGACGAAGACGCGCCCGTCGACACCTTTGTTCGTTCCTGCGACGCGGTATCTCGCGAGGGCGATGCACCGTGATCCTTTTGCGGCAGAACCGACGGTTTTCTAATCTCCATCGACGTCCCGTCGATCTGATAACATCTGGATCTCAGACTGCGCGATTCCACCTGACCTTGAAGAGCTCGCACTCGAGCGCCAACCGGCAAACCGTAAATTGGCTGTTCCTGCCGCGATTGATCGATCGATTTCGAATCTTTTCGAGAATTTTCCGAAGTCTGCAGTCGACGTCCCGATTCTGCCGACGTGATTCTCGAAGATGCATTATCTCGAATATAGCCAGCAGCGCATTTCGTTGGCGCTTCCGTCGATTTACAGGCCATCTCGACCGCTTTACCGGCAGTCGCGATGGGTCGCGGCGTCGAACCGCTCGCCACAGCAGCCGCTCGCCTACTTTCTCCGTCCTTATTTGGTGAGATTGGCTCGCCTTGGTCACCAAGGTTGTCGGCCGACAACAGGCCCTTCGCGGAGCTTGTCCCGCGCGGCAAACGCGTCTCCGTCTCCTCCTTAACGAGCGAACACGCTGTCGCACAGTTCTGATCCGCGTTCCCGGAACATTTCAGCGACGGTCTTCTACAGGGGATAATTGATGTTGTCATCGTTGTCGTTGTTGAAGTCGTAACGGTAGACACTTCGGCCACCTTTGAGCTGTTAACGGTAGCTCTGTGATCCAGCTCGCATCTCGTCCTCGCCAAGTTTATAATCCGGTTTTCTCCCAAGCCTTTTTCTTCGATGTTTCCTTCGGCACGTCTGGATCTGAAGCTTGACGAGCCAAGTGGGCCTCTCTGAGGGATTCTGGAGGCCGGGCTGGAATCGCTCGATCTCGAGGGCGTGACGGTCGATTGAGCACTGGAACCGTAATCCGACTGGTTAATTTTGCTCTTCACAGCCAAGTACTCTTTGTACGTGCCTTTACTAGTGTTCACGCCGACGTTCACCTTTTCCGGCCTATTACGTTCTACCATTTTGCGATTCACGCGAGTCAGGTCGTCGTAGCTCGAAGACGCTCCTCCGTTCAGTCTGTTCCTCGCCTCGTCGATCGATCTAGATCTCGAATCCTGACGGTATCTTCGCTGGCTCTTCTGTTCAGCGCTGCTGTTCGATCTCGTTAGAGGTTTATCACGTGGAAAGTTCTGACTGTGCGCTTGATTCAGCCACTCATCCACTCTCTTCTGGACTTCGCCTTTACGCAGCAAAACCTCCGGCATCTTGGAACGACTGCTCTCAATCGCATTGTCCATTGTTGAGACACGACAGGTGTCCTCGGATGGGACGAGGTGATGCACTTTGCTGCCGCAATCTTTCTGTCTGTCTCGTGAACGCTGTCTCACTTGAGTCTGCTGATTCACTTTCAGCATCGGTTGAATCTTCTCTCTTGGGATAGATTTGGTCTGAACCGTGTTAGTTAATTTCGATCGTCCTTGTTGTTGCTGCTGCTGTCGCTTCTGCTGATCCATCATAACTTCTTCGAAGTTCGTCACGCTGATGCTGCCGACGTCACTGAGATCCGACGACCTGCAATAATCCAAGTCTTCAAACTCGTCTAGAATATTGTTCACCGACTGCGTGTCAATCGAGCTGGTGCTCTTTGATTTGTTCCTCGCAATGCTCTCGTCGCTGCTCGAGTAATTGCTCTGTTGCTGCTGTTGCTGACGTTCCCTGCTGATCTGCCGTTTGGGTCGCGGCTTTGGCTTTTGATACTTGAGCACCGCGTTCTCGTAACGCTGCAGGGCGCTCCCGATTTTTTCGTTCTGATTCTTTTTTTGAACGGACAATTGTCGCGAGTAACGCTGTTGAGGTGAATCCCGCCGATGATTGAGCATCTTGTTGTCGTTAAGCGACATCTTCCACTTTGATAGATCGGATGTGTGAAGCTCTGCACGTTTCGCGAACACGTCTTTCTATTTACGGCGTTTGTCAGCTCCTTTCACGTGGTCTACGACGAGATCGGACGGGAGGCGTTGCAGTCTGCGCTGGGTGCATCTTCATCGACGAAGAGAATGTTGCTACCACTATTAGATTTCGTAATTATTTCATCGCTCATCTTCCGTCAGAAAGCGGCATCTTGATCATATTTTTTCGCAGAAAATAAAAAAAAGACTAATGTGACACACCAGATTCTGAAATAAAAATATTTATTTCGAGATTAGAATAGGAATAAAAAGTAACTACAGGTAAAATAGAGCTATTTTTTGTGAATTCTGTTTTTTTTTTCAAAATAAAATTATATAAGTTTTATAGTTACAATATTGTATTGAGATATTGAAGAACAACTCGAGACAAGTAATTTTTTTCAACTAATTTATCAAGTCAAAAACTAATTTACTTCGCGTAAAATTGTAGAGAAACTACTTCTATTGGGAGCAAGTACCAAAAATTACTCGCTGGAGTACGGTTCGTGCACTAACTGTTTCCGCAAATCTAGCGTAATAAACTCTCAAACTCGCGGACGCATGGTGGTAAAACAGCTGGCAAAGAACGTTTCATTAATTTTTCAGCTCGCACGAAATTTACGTGCGTATTTCGTTAAATGGCACGGCCGCCGCCGCATTTCGAGCAACACTTCACATGCGCATTATGCGTCGCTGTAATTCGCGCAAAAACCAACTTGATTCATCGTTTTCCAAAGGAAAAAATTTTAAGATTCTGCGATAACGACGGAAATATAAAAACATGTAAATGTAATTTTCACAAATCTTTATAAAAATATTCAGAAATACTCAAGACTGAGTACTTTAAGTAAAATGCTGTTTTTTCTTTATTGATAATAAATTTAGATTTAAAATTTTTCTATCGCGCAAAGAGTTCGCCATTTCGAACTTGACCACGTTCTGAAAATCTCGTCGATAAATGGCAGAAGGTGAACTTCCGTAATGATTGCGCCGATCCGACGCCACTTGTCCGACGCCGACGGCACGTTCTGTCGTTCGTGGAATTTCCGGTAGTTGACCGATATCCGGCTTGAATTAATTTCGCTTCTCGGCTCGAAGACATTAAATATTATAGTACGTTCTCTCGCCGAAGTTTTCGTGCGCGGAATCGTTAAAAGCCTCACGAAATGACTAACGGAACTTAATATGCTTGTGAAGATTATTAGTGCGGAATATCGTTATCCTCCCTATAAAATACATATCTTCTTTTAAGACTTTTAACATGTTTATTTCCGATAAATGCTTACTGAAGTATAAAATAAGTAACTTTCTGACAATAATATTCAACGCTTCAATATATGAACGTTTCTTTAAATCAGTTGCCAACGGTTTATTTTTTTTCCGGATGAAATCATGATAATGCGATATTGATAAATTGTGTAATTGACGAGAGAGAGTTCAGTAAGCTCGACTCACAAACGATTTATTAAATGTGTAACGGAGCGAGTCAAATGCAAACAAAGTGCAATTAACGAACTAAGCTCAAAATGGTGAAAAACCGCTTATCAGAAAAGCCGATCGAATCGATGCAAATTGCATATTTTTGGTAAACAATCGTTTTTCAGTAGCAATGTATCATTCTACGAAAAT